TGAAACCAGTCACTGCCTAATAGCAAATCTGCACATAAATCTTCAATTATAAATGCATCGATTTTTGTTGTAATTTGGTTTGTTGTCATGTGGAGAGCCACCTTTCCTAGAATCTTCAATTCACCCCCATTTGCGGTTTTAACCGTTGTGGATATGCTGCGAATTTTGTCATGCTTGATGTTGCTCAGATATGTGGAATTAATCGCCGTCACCGTGGAACCAGTATCAATCATTGCTAGTGTGTTAACATTATTAAGGAGGATGGTAATGAATAGTAATGGTGCTTGTTCCTGTTGAGATTGCTGTGTGGATGGGTTTCGAGAATGTAGGGTGGCACAACCATCACGTGACACCGCATCTAGTTTAAATGATGATAACGTTGTGGACAATCACGACAATAATGATCCATTTTCCCACAAATATAACAACCTTCCGATGACGACGGTCTGTATGATGCGTAATTTGTTCTCCATTGGGTTGGTGCAGGACGTTTCTGTGGCTGTTGGCTATTGTTGTTAAAATATGCAGGCTGATCGAAAGGACGACGAGCGCGTGAATAATTTCCGAAATAATGTTGGTTAGTATTTGGGACGGATGATGCTGTTGGTTGCTGTCGGTAGTAATCTGATGGTGGACATTGGAAAGAATCATTGGGCGCACCCGTTGTTTGACGAATATCGTCGCGACGATCATAATTGTTGCAGCGTTGGCCAAAAGCTGAGTTGGTATTAGATGAATTTTTCGAACCTTGATAGTTCAGTGCTGATACTGTTTCATCTGTTGTTGTAATCGTAGTTGTTTGTAGTTCGATTAAATCTGATTCAGCTCTTTTGGCTTGTTGTAACAAATCATCTAATGTTTTTGGATTCAATAACTTTTGACGAATTGTTGCACGTAACCCTTCAATTAAATAAATCAGTGCCTCGTCGGCTGGCATACGCTCATTATATTTTGTACATAATGAAATTTTGCTAATATAGTATGACTGTACAGTTTCTGTTGGACCTTGTTGACGATTACACAATTGCTGATGGATTTTTAGACGTTGATCCGTTGCTTTAAACACTCGAATAAATGCTGAACGAAATTCACTCCAAGATGAATCAACTAAAACTGTTCATCATCACTCAGCTAATGAACTTCTTGTTGAATCATACCATTTCTTTGCATCACCAGATAAAAACATGGGCAAATAGTGTTGCCGATCTTTTTCTTCTACTCTAACTAAATCCAGACATCTGACACAACTATCCAACCATTGCTCAACATCTTGTGTATCGGATCCAGAGAATGGATCAATGATGTTTTTTAATGCGGCTAAATTCTGAAATACAGCCATGTCGTGCTTGTGTAGTCGCTCGTCTTGTTTCTGTTGTTGTTGTAGATGAAATTGTGCACGTTCCTGCGCAGTTGTTCGTCTTGTATCCAGATCTGCAGACCGCAGAAGTTTGTAAAATAACTCACTGGTTGGGACACAATCGTCCTGTTACGTTGTTAACTTGTATTAGTCTTCTTGTTGGTTGGTGTAACAAGGTCCACTCGCTGCTACCAACTGTTATGTAGTGAATCCTTTTATTAAAAGTACTGTACAATGTGACTACATACCGTACACTGAGGAAAACAGTTAGTATTTATAGGTTATAGAGAGAGAGCAGAAGAGAAGAGAAAATCATACCATAGAAATATTTCACACAGTTAAATAATGAGGAGAATATCATACCATAAAAGAATGTTTAAACAATGAATAGAATATCGATACATATCGAACCATACATGCGTACATGGTAAAGAAAATGAAAACTAAAACTGTTCTTCGGAGCGCCCTTTACACCACGCGGTACGTAGCCTATAAACCATGGATGCTGTGTTTATTTCTGTGGACGACACATTAATGCACTTGAAGTATGAAAAAACGGCCACTGAAGAGAATGAGGAAATTTTGGTATCATAAAGATCGGGGAACAAATTAATTTTACAGAAATAATTTTGCTCTGGATTCCTTTTAATTTTGGTATACGACTTCCACAGAACTTGCACTACCGTCCTTGTCTAATCGAACCAATTATTGGTTGTTACTGAGCTCATTTATGATTGGAGAGTTAAAGTTAAATGATGTCCAAAATATCATTTAACTCAAAAATTTCTTATATGGATTCTATCTCTGAATAAAGAAGTGAGAATCGTTTCTTTACGTGCTAATATATGTCTGATTATTCAAAATCATGAGACACTGTCTCGGCGAATTTATTTATTTTCTTTGTATGGAAACCAAACAAGGTAACGCTCGTCCCCACTCGCTCGGTCCCTTGACTTTAATAACCTGGATCTGCGCTACTGAACGCCCTTTCGTGACTTTTAAATCGAAGACAATGCTCACGCCTCCCTTCGGTCGGCGCTCGCTGGGGGCCTAACTAAGCCATCTTCTCGATGTTTTTCTGTTTTCATGTGTAAGGTTCGTAATATAATATAAATATGCAAGGCAAAAAGTCCCAGAAGTCTAAAAATATTTCTGAACTCCAAGCAATGCTCATTCAATGCAACGCAATGCCCTTCGGTCGGCGTTCACAGCCACTATAACTGAGAAACGCTGTGAACTTCTCTGCTTCCATGGAAAAACCATCTAATGTAAATAAAGCTAAAAGGTTTTCTGGACACTCTTGACGGATCCTAAGGAGATTGGACCTATTTTTAATCGATTCGCTATGATATATTCTCTACACACTGTAAGTTACATTATCCGTAGCCGACTTTCTTTGTATTATCACAGTTGACTGCTATCTGGCGACATCTATCACCGGCCTGCAGAAAACGTTTGCTTAGCCTTTTATCTCTCTGCAGCGGTAGATATTTCAGATCATCTCTTTGAATATTTTCTCCCTTCTGTAAAAAATAATTTTCTACTTCTCTCTGTTGTGATTCGCTTATCCATAGAATATCTAGCAACCATTTCTCCCTATTTTGCGCACACACAGACACACAGACAGACAACCAGTTTGTAAGACCCTAGACTAAAGTCAAGGGAAAAATGGTTGTTCCTTTTTTTACTGAGAAACTGAACTGAACGGGGTTTCTGAGTCACCAGAGCGTAAATTTTTCTATCACCCAATCAGAAAAGTTCAGTAAAATCAGTTTCTCAGTAAAAAAAGGGACAACCGGAAAAATCGGTGGTCTATAAAAAAAGGAAAAAAGGAAAGGAAAAGTCATTGTCTAAGACAAAGACAAATTGTCCTAGACAATGGCTTTTCCTTTCCTTTTTTCCTTTTTTTGTAGACCACCGAAAAATCATCAGGTCACCAACCATGAAAAATACGTTTAGAAAATGACTTTATCGGAATTGCTCGAGATTAAAAATATTGAACGGATTAAAGCGTAGTAGCTGTTACTATTCTTGAAAAATGTTTTTTATTCTTTTTTAATACTCCTTTTGTCTTAAAATCAAGCACGTTGTAAGTGGATAGCACATAAACCATCTATGCACTATGAAAGTTAGCCACTCTCGTGCCGTAGAACGGCAAAATCTTCGAAAGTTCATAATTTTAATCGAATTTGAAGTGCATAGATATTTCTTTTTCCATACACCTGGGATCTGGGAATTTCTGGGAGTTCATACTTAGTTTTGTGAGATATCAGTGCTAGTTTCTATCCTTTAACAGCCGCTACGTTGTCTAATTTGACACATTCCGATAAACTAGCGACATACAATGCGTCGGTGACCTGATGAAAAGTTTTTCAAACGGCGAACAGTAACAAAAAATAATTTCTACTATATATTATATTTCGCACGTCTTTCAATATTGCCGAAAAAAAGTTCGAGATAGGTCACTGAAGCCAATGGGATAAAGGCAAAAGGAGACGGAAGAGTCATGTAAAAACGGAGACCAATGTCTTTTTGTATCATTTTCTCTGCTTCTAAAGAAAGAGATGACTTGGATGTCCTGAAGGAGAATAATGTTTAGCTTCGTCAGCTTTCGGGTATAAGCATGTAATAGTGACTCACCCGTTTCTGCTAAAGTGAAAGATAATAGATGGCAAATGTGGTTGCATCATTACATAACGCAAAAGAAACCTTCCTTACTTTTTCATGGTGTATATATACAGAAAGCATGCGATACGAGGAAGAAAAAAGAAAAAACTCGCCCACCTGTTAGGATTGGATCGAGGTGTCAAATAACCAAAATTTTCATCTTTTACCAGCGGAGCTAAAAACTGTTTTGTATTCAGTCGATTTTCGTGAAGATATCCTCGATAAGCCTCTCTTCCAACCCCATTCTAATGCATAGCTTAGTAAGACGATCTTAGAATCGAAAGAACTTGCCGTGTATATACTTCAAAAAAAATGGGTAAAACAGAATACAGAATGCAAATTTAGCCAAACTCAATGAAGAAAGGGAGAGGAAGAAGGGATTAATAAACGCATTGGAAGTTTTTGAACGGTTCTCAGATCCGCTAAGCTACATTTTTCGAAGCGTATTTAGAATTCTTACCAGAGAAGTAAAAGTGCAATAGAATTTTCTCGGAAGCATGTACGAGAAAATTGTTCAGAAACAGACAAGGGTACCCCTCAGATTTCGGTTTCCGAATAGATTTTATAAATTACAATTAAACGAAAGAGTTTCTCGAGAAATTTGTGTTATCTGAATCATCGTCTTCCCACCTTGTAAGAGTACGCATAAGTTAAAGATGAAAGTCATCTAAACAGTTATTTAGAATAATACCATATGAGTCGTGTGATACTAATCTGAGCTTACCGTCCATTGCTTGTAGTTTTTGATCAAATAACTGTTCTTGATTCTTCAGAGCTTGTTCAAATTTGAGTTCTTGATTCTTCAGAGCTTGTTCAAATTTGAGTTCTTGATTTTTCATTTTCCTCTCCAGACATTGGAGTTCGCTGTGCTGTTTCATTTCTCGCCGACTATAGTCGCTTTTACATGTTGAACATTGAACAACCACTTCCTCACACTTTTGCTCATGCGCCTGGACGTCTTTCTTCAAAATACCTTTTTTACAGCCACTACATGAAACACCGCACTGTTGTTCATGTTTTTCCAATGCATCATACAGGAGTTTTTCCTGGCATCCGGCGCTTTTGTATTGACAATATATCTTCAGTTGCGATAGCAGTCTCATAATAAGTCGTGGACACGATTGTATCTCAAACACTTGTCGACAAGTCGGACATGATTTCTCCCTTGTAAGCCAAGTTTCAATACATGAAGAACAAAAGAGTGCCTCGCATGATTTACATGCAACAGGATTCCATAAAATATTGTGACCAATGGGACATTCAAGAAGATCTTGAAATTGATTTTGGTCAACGAGACGATCCGTTGAAATGCATTCATCTTTGGTCATCATAATTTCTAACGAAAATGAAGGAAATGCAGTTGAAAAATCGTTCTTTAATCTGACGTATTCCTGATGAATTCAACAGACTCTCAAAAATTCAATTTAAACAACTAGTCTAAAACTGCTCGTATCTTAGTTCTAAGATAATAAAAAAGAATTTCGCGACTGCGTACTTACGTTCTACTGATGTAACGGCGAGGTAATCGAAACGAAAGTTGAAAAAAGTAAAGTGAAGGAAATTTCTTTTACTTTTTGCAAAACAGAACTTTCACATTGTTAAAGTTATTATTTCTTTTAATAAACCTTTGTTTTGAGTAACCAGAGGAGTAAAATGGAGTAAAGAGAAAAAATTAATTATTCCAAAACATCAGGCATCATTTTGTGTTGTGCAATAATTTATTTTTTCTCTTTACTCCATTTTACTCCTCTGGTTACTCAAAACAAAGGTTTATTAAAAGAAATAATAACTTTAACAATGTGAA